CCACACACACACAGCTCCCTCCACACACACACAGCTCCCTCCACACACACACAGCTCCCTCCACACACACACAGCTCCCTCCACACACACACAGCTCCCTCCACACACACACAGCTCCCTCCACACACACACAGCTCCCTCCACACACACACAGCTCCCTCCACACACACACAGCTCCCTCCACACACACACAGCTCCCTCCACACACACACAGCTCCCTCCACACACACACAGCTCCCTCCACACACACACAGCTCCCTCCACACACACACAGCTCCCTCCACACACACAGCTCCCCTCCTCCCCACAGCTCCCCACATGCACAGAGCCCACAAGGGGCACAGAGCACACAGGGAGCACAGAGCACACAGGGGGCACAGAGCACACAGGGGGCACACAGCACACAGGGGGCACACAGCACACAGGGAGCACAGAGCACACAGGGAGCACACAGCCCACAGGGAGCACAGAGCACAGAGCACACAGGGAGCACAGAGCCCACAGGGAGCACAGAGCCCACAGGGGGCACAGAGCACACAGGGGGCACAGAGCTCACAGGCAGCACAGAGCACACAGGGGGCACACAGCCCACAGGGAGCACAGAGCCCACAGGGGGCACAGAGCACACAGGGAGCACAGAGACAGGGAGCACACAGCCCACAGGGGGCACAGAGCACACAGGGGGCACAGAGCACAGAGCCCACAGGGGGCACAGAGCACAGGCACTGCGGCCTCACCCAGATGTCCTGCTTCTCGCCGATGGGGAAGTTCGAGTACAGGTCCACGATCTCGGGCGTCCTGTACATGGGCGTTGTGTTCCTGGTGACCTGAAGAACAGATGCACTTTTCACAGGGAAGTTGTTTGGTGTCAGTGCCCACGGCCTCCCTGCAGGAAGCGCACGTCCACCCCAGGGCCCAGAAAGCCTAGCCCGGCTCCTCCCCTCCCTCCCCTCACCCCCACGCCGGCCCCTGCCTCGCAGCCCAGCTCTTGCTGGAGTGGCCACACCAGGCACACACAGTGGGATGTCAGCTGTGTGTCCAGGAGACACGTCTCAGCGGACAGGCACTCCCTTCCAAAGCGGACGGGCACACCCTTCCGGGTCCAGGAGGTGGGTCACCTGCGGCCCGAGGGGAAGGCTGTTCTCAAAGCCGCCTCCTACGCGTCCTCGTGGACAGAGACCCTCTGTCCCGGGAAAGAGCTGAACTGAATTTACGGACGAGTCAGGCTGTTATGTGAGAAACCCGAGACCCAGGTAGACAGGGTGGGCCCTGTGGCAGAGACTAGAGACACAGCATGGGGGAGGCCAGCGTGCCCGTGCACGGCAGACACACACACACCAACCCCGGCCAGAGATGCCACCGGAACATGGAACAGGCTGTGACCCCGGTGAGACAGTGAGGCTAACCCACGGTTCTCCCGGGAAGGTCTGCTTCAGGAGGAGGAGACCTGGGCGGGACCAGCGCCCAGGAGACACCCAGGGCCAACACAATGCCAAGTCCAGGTGCATAAAGGATGCTGAGCCGGGAGGGAGGCAGGCAGAGGGCACTGCGACCGGACGTGGCCGCAGAGCCTCCACACAGGAAGTCACCAAGCTGCAGGCCCGTGACCCACGTGTGTACACGTGTTCCCTGCACTAGACGGCGTGCTATGCAGCCGTGTGAGGCACTGACCCCCAGCCCAACGCGACGCTCCTACAGCACGCGCAATGCTGAGTGCCCTCACCTCCTCCTCCACCAGGGCCCGCCGCTGGGCACTCCAGCTGTAGTCAGGGGCGTGTGAGACGGTCGTGGCGCTGCCAAAGTCGCACAGCTTAATGGTCCCCTGGTTACTCAGCAACAAGTTTTCAACCTGAAAAATTCCAGGAGACAGTCCTTATAGATTAGGGGTGCAGACAGCCAGCTGGCCCTGAGGGGAAAACACAGCACCCCCACTTCTTTTTGGTCAAAATCAGTGTGTGTACCTTTAGAAGCAGGTAATTCGGATAAACTCAGCCGTAAATCAAAAGATGAATGACATTAATACCATGGGATACACAACGAAAGCCTTTAGAAAAGACTAAATTAACACAGTCTAAAAACCATCCTATATAATAAAAGCCCAGCGCCCGAACGGCAGAACGACCAGAACGACCGGTCAACCAGTTGCTATAACATGCAATGACCACCAGTGGGCAGACGCTCAAACAGGAGCTGCTCCCTGGTGGTCAGTGTGCTACCACAGCGGGAGCGCCGCTCAGCTGACCGGGATGAGCGGCTGTTCCCGCTGCAAACCCTGAGCAGACGGGCAGGAACCCGGGCTGCGATCATCGCCTCCTCGCCCCAGGCTCCTCCTCCGAGTGCTCGCAGGCTGGGCTAAGCCACTGCCGCCAGGCTCGCAGAACGCTGGAGGCTGGGAGGGGGGTTTGTGGCTGCCACGGGTCTGAGGCCTACTCCACCGCCTTTCAGTGCTATTGTCCCTGGGCCTGGCCCCGACTGCGTCTCCTGGAGAGGCAAGTGCTCCAGCTCCACGGAAGACGCCGGACCAGAGAGCAGCCACTTAGAGGGCAGGTCCACAGCTGCTCGGCTAACCAGGATGAGTGGCGCTCCCACAGCGGGTCGATCCCCGCAGGCCATGCCCCCACCAGTGCACGAATCCCGTGCACCAGGCCTCTAGTCCTATATGATATCCTATATAATAAAAGCCTAATTGCAAATTGTCCCCTTGACTGGGAGTTTGACCGCTCGCTATGACATGCACTGACCACAAGGGGGTGGTGCATAACATGGCGGGCGTTGGTGATGCAGCACTGGCAGTGGGCGACAGTGGAGGCGCTGCTGGCCCCAATGAGAGCAGGACCGCAGTGGGATGGTGGAGCAGGTGAGTGGGCAGCGCCAGGCCAAGGTGGGTGCGAGCAGGGCCCGATGACTCAGGCGGAGGGGGGCGCACGGGGATCCAGGGGCCCAGGTGCTGCCCAGGGCCCAGAGGTCAGCTGGGACCTGCCCTTTCACGCCAGACGCTCACGCTTCGATCGCTGGCCCGGTTGAGGGACCGCACCCATGCACGATTTCGTGCACCAGGCCGCTAGGCAAATAGATCAAGAAGCTGTCAAGGAGTCCAGCCAGAAACCATCACTTGAGATGCACTTTTAAAATCCAACATAAACAGGACTAACAGCAGAGACAGACCTGTCCCAGCCCCTCGAGGGTATGTCCTGGCCAAGGCCCACCGCTGAGGACGGCTTTTACAATCTGAGTGCTGGGAAAAGTAAACAATTCTTCACCACCCAGGGCCGCGGGACCCGCAGAGCAGCCTGCCGACCTGCTCGGGGACGGCCACGGCAATCCCATGGGTGGACTGACCAACGGATGAGAACGTGTGTAAGGAGACACAGAGCCAAGAAGGTCCCGAGGCAGACGTGAGCCTGGCTGCAGCTCCGAGCGGAGGGCGCCGACAGGGACAGCGGGACAGGCAAGGGAAGAGAGGCCCTGCCTCTAAACGCAAGGGCAGCCACAGGCCTCAGGTCAACGCTCGGGAAGGAGCACGCTGAGCCGGGCAGCTGACCAGCCACTGCGAGCAGCACCTGAGCAGACACCGCCCGCTGAGAGCAAGCACGCCAAACCCCACCCGTTCCCACATATGGCTTCTGCGGATGAGACAGAAACACAGCTCAGCAGGAACACAGGCAAACACTGCTACAGGGATGTCCCCAGAGGAAATCCAACGCCAACAAACCTAAAAACGGTCAACTCTGTCCACAGAAGGAAAATGCCACGGAAGCCACACGGTCTGCTGCCAACACCAAGAGCCCCAAGTGCCAGGCTCAGAGGTCACACGCCCGGGAAGCAGCGACCCCACAGCGCACACTCTGCCAACTGTGGGCCCGAGACGGACGAGCCCCAAAACCACAGCGCTGAGCAAAACGCCGCACAGAGGACGCACTCCGGAGCCACGTGCAGGATAAATGGAGGCTGGGACTCCACACGGGGCTGGGGCTCCATGGACGGGCCCTCCCTGCTTCACGGAGGCGCTTTGGGGACACCCGCTCGCTGTGAAGCGGCTCCTAGCAGCCTCTGTGACTCTCGGCAGAGCCTGGCCGGCCTCACTGGCAGAAGCCGGACCTCCTAGCCGGGCGCGGCGGGCGTGGGAGTGGGAGGCAGCACCTTGAGGTCCCGGTGGATGATGGGCGGCTTCTGCCGGTGCATGTGCTGCACGGCCCTGCACGTCTGGTAGAAAATCTTCAGGACGGTGTCGCACGACAGAGGCCCTTTGGTCTCGCTTTTCTTCAGAAACTCCACCAGCTGCCCTGGAAGAGACAGGAGACATTCATCCCCACAAGTCGGGGGCGGGGCCGCAGGACAGGGCAGGGGGCGGCACCACCTGGCGCTGGCTTTACCAGCCAGCGTGGGACACCTGTGGCCATGGCGCGGGCAGCACAGGCTCCTACACGGAGCCAGGGGGACGGCAGGGCCCAGAGAAACCACAACATGCCATCTCCTCGTCTTGCTCCACTTCCCTAAATGACGGCCATCTGCCCAGGGGCGTGGCCTCTCCTACACACACTCCACACTAAGTGCAGCCTGCACACGGGACCAGGGTGGTGACAGCACAGGGAGCCCCATCCTCCCGTCGCCAGGGACACGTGTTCACACCTCAGTGCCCGCGCTGCCCTGGTCCCCAGCCCGTCCCTGATCCAGGCCCGAGGCCACCTCAGTGACGGAGGCACAGCCAGCGTGGCTACCACGGCTCCAGATCCATGGTGGCCCTCAGCCACGCTGCCCCGCCTCCTGGGGTCAGACACCATCCCTCCCCCCTGGAAGCCAGCTCTGCCAGCCTGCCACACGGGTACCCCCTCCAGCTCGTTTCCCCCAACACTGGGCGAGTCGCTGAACCCGCGCCTGCACACAACAGCGCCCCAGACACCACGCTCACCTGGAGAGAGAACCACCTGCCGAGAGGGGCGAGGGCATGAGGCTCCAGCCTGACAAGGCCCAGCGCAGAGCAACGCAGAAGCCGCCTGAGCTCCCACATGAGGAGCCGGACACAGACACCACGGCACTCACAGCCGGAAACGGGGGCCCCGACGGAGACCAGCGTGGCCTCATCCACGCCGCCCAAAGTGTCAGAGCAGGCCACCGAATGGCACCCCCAACCCAACAAGCCCCCTGTGAATGCCAGCCACAGGGAGGCCAGGTCCCGGGAGAGACACGCAGACTCTGTGGACGAGGCAAGGAGCGCGTCCGCAGACACTGGCTAAGGGCCTGAGTTCGGATCTGCTGACCCTGGGCCTTAGAGAGCAGGCGAGCCTGTGGGTGCAACACGGCGCCGAGCACAGCACACTTTTCAGAAGGAAGAGTGTGTCTACGGAGCCCCGCTTCTCAACACACCTCACAGCGCTTCTCCCACGAGCACACGTCCTCTTCACTAAAACCAGCAGTGACCGTGAGCACCTGCCACCTGGAAGACCCGAGTGTGGGCGGCACCTCCCAGCCAGCCCGGCGAGACAACGGGAAGTAGGGCCCAGACACGGAGAGCACAGCCCTCACTCTCCCATCCGGCTCCCAACTCCACTCCCCGGGGAGGGCCCGGCTTCCCCGAGCCTATAAAGCTGTCGGCACCTGTGTCAGCCTGCTGCTCCCCTCCCCATCCCCTAACCCCACCACCACCCGCTCCAGGGTTGCGCTGGCTGCTCAGGGCTCAGCACCATCTCCTCCTCCTCCTGCAGAGGTGCCTGCGCCCACTGCCCCCTCTCCTCCGGAACAGCCCCGCTCGTGGTGGCTGGGACCCCGGGGAGGGCCATCTGTGGGCACAGCATGTGTCCCTCCCAGGGAGACGCCTGCCTCAGTGTCCCCTGCTGCTGCTCCCTGGCCTTGTGGCGGCAGGGCCCCGGCCTCCTCCCACACACGCTGCCCACGGACAATGAGGCAGCACCGTGCCCCAGGACCGATGGCCCACCCGGCTGCCAGCCTCTGGCCCACTGGGCCTCGCATGTCCCGTGCCCACTCCTTTCCCCCTAAGTTACACCGATACCAGCTGAGCCCGTAGGCTGCAGGAGGGCGGACCCCCGGCCCTCCATGGGCAGCGCGGGCAGACTGAGCCCTACTGCCTCCTCCTCGGTCATGTACATGACCCCCCTGGAACTTTGCAGAAGGCACTGGGCCCCCCCCACTCCTGTCGGGGACTAAGAGCCTTTCCTGTCCTCCAGGAAGGGCCTCCCTCCGCCGGGACCTGCGTACGCCCGCAGGGAGCTCGTTACCTCTGCAGAGCTCCGTGAGCAGCAGGAACTCGGCCTGCCCCGTGTCCGACTCCTCTTTCCCTATCGACGCTGCAGAGCAAAACTGGACAATGTTGGGGTGGCCAGAAAGCTTTTTCTGCGGGTGTCTTGTTAAAGGAGAACGCGTACGTCTGCACAGGGAACACATGCGCGGCGGGCAGAAGTAGGCTCACAGCTGTGAGCACGAGGACTCACTCGTGCTATTACTTACTGTTGTGTTATTGCCCACACAACTGTGAACCTACTTTTGCCCTCCCCTGTATAAACCATGACGCTGAACGACATGACCTTAGACCTCAGCGCATCAGAGCGGAAAGGTGAGGGCGAGCAGAGGGGGAGGGCGGGGGGAGGGGAGCGAAGTGTGGACGGAACCACACACACCTGACCACAGCCAGGCAGGCCAGCGGGAGAGGGCGCGGCATGAGGCCATCCGCCCAAAACTCAGGGAGGCGAGCACCCTCGGGCTCAGCGGCCAGCGTGCTCCCATGGACAGAGCTTCAGGAGAGAAAAGAGCAGATTCTGGCAGCAAAAGGGCAGCGCCAGCGGGTGGAGGCCAAGAAGAAATGCCAGCAGTCAACCATTTGTTGGTTGATGCCCTGCCCAGGGTGAAGGGATGGCCGGGTGCGATGGCCGCAGGTTGAAAGGCTGCCCACCCCAGGCACAGAGACCTCTGGGGCAGGACCCACATCTCCACTCCCAGGACCATGGAATCCCTTACAGCTGCCCTGGGAGTGAAGAACAAGGAAATAGCTCCTTTTCGCTAGAAACAGTCCACAGATAAGCCAGGAAAAGCAAAGCCCACTGTTAGTGCATCAACGAGAACGCGGCAGCGGCGCCCAGGAAAGGATACCAAGAAGCACACCTCCTGGATGATGGCTCGGCTCCTCTCCTCCTCGTTGGACAGCAGTCTCTGCATCGGGAGGGAACACAGACAAGGTTAGTCCGCGCAGCAGAACAAATCAACACACCAGCACCTGACCTACGTAGAAACTGGCAGCGTAGAGGCCCCTGGAAATGGCCCTCTGCAGCCCCAGGACACAAGAGAACTACACAGAGGAGCCTCTTCTGCAAGCAGGCTGCAGTAAAATAGGATGAAAAAGGAGACGCGGCAGAAACCAGAGTCCTCGCCCTCGTCTCCAAGTCACGTGGGCCCCTTACAGCTTAGCCGCACGCCCAGGACGGCCACGCCACTCCACTCCGCAGCCCAGGCTGGACACCAGCCACCCGGATGAAACCAGACAGCTCTGCCCACAGTCCCACCGTGAGCCTGCTCCGGGACATGCGAGCGTGGCCTGCACGCGTGGTCCACCCGAGTGGCTGTGCCGCTCCCGCCCTCTGCGGAGTCTCGCCCCCGGGCCCCCAGCTGGACACCGCAGCCATAATGTCCACTGAAAGTGCTGATGGCTCCTCGCCATCAGAGGAAACTAACAGGACGAGAGAGGGAACGCACAAAGAAACACACTAATCGGGAACCCCTCTCAACATGTCACTTTGAGATTTCCTTAAAAGTAACCGAAACCCACGCAGAACGTGCCGTCCACCTTACCTTCAGCGCATACTCTCTGCCACTTCCCAGATCCTGGGCCTCATATACGAACGCAAACCCTCCTGAAATCAGGAAAATAAACACATCAGTCCACGCTGGGATTTATTCAACATTTAGATGTCTTGACTAAGTCAACACAAACTGCACTTGTGGATAGCAGTACGTTTTCTGCAAAAATAATGGCTCCAATTTACACGAAAAATTCAATAACAAAAGTTTTAAAAAGATACTTCCTCAAATACGCACAGGTGGTGTGAGCAAGCTCAGGAAAACAGGCCCAACATCCCTGCCCAGGAGGGAACTGTTCCCTCCCAGGACCCATGGAGGCTCTCCCACACTGTGGGCTGGCCCAGCAGACCCCCCCCTCCACCCACTTTTGCAATTTAAATGGAAACATAGTTCACATTTTGAAAAGACTAGAAAGCTATCTAGCTCCAGGACTCTGCCTAAAACCCGTTTCGTGCTACAGTTGCAAATTCCAAAAAGCGATGAAAACCCGTATTTTCTTCCTAGGTCATTTGGCAGCAAACTATGATCTATTGTAAATGTACCGGTATCTGGGGCAACCCCTGGCATGAACTGACGTGGAGCCGTTTAAAGCTCATCCCACAGTGACGACGCCTCCCGGCTTAGTTACCGACGCGTCGATGCGCCTGATTACGGAGTGCCTCCAGCGCTGGGGGCACAGGCTGGCGCGCACGGGACATGTCATCGTTCTAACACCCGAGGAGCTCGGACCTGCTCTCTGGCCCAGGGTCTGAGGCTTGGGCCTTCCCCGTATTTATACAAATCAGTCTGAGTGTCCACAGCCCGGGTTCCGAGGGAGCCGTTTTACGTGGAAGACTTCACACTGATTTCACCCGGTTCATTTCCAAGAGGCTTCCCGAGCTTTAGAGCTGTGAGCCGACAGCTCCTGGCCGCACGGGTTACTTTTACCTCCTGGCTCGCCTACAGGGCACAGGGAAGGGGCTGGCACATTTCCTCGTTCTTCTTCCTGGGCGCTGAGCGGAGGCACAGCTGCCTTCTCGCCCTGACCCACTTCCCACCTGCGATCACCCTCCCAGCCCCTGGCCGGACAGTCCCATTCCCGCCCCTCCCCCACTGCGTGCCCCAGGCTCCCCCTGCTGTCCTCCCATCATTGGGGCGCGTGTCTTATTTTAAGGCAGAAGCCGCCTCCTGTCGGCCAGGAGTTTCTTAAGGAAACAAGGTAACTGCCTGGCACTTTCAGGACAAATGAGGTGGCCCCAGCTCTGAAGGGGGCAGAGCCCGTGGTCTTCCCAATAAATCACACCCCCATCTGCTTCTGAAACAAACTGGAGAAAAGTAGGTGGTGCTGCTGCGGCCTTAAGAACAAGGACTCAGGACCCAGAGAGGCCGTGTGGCCGCGGGGACGGCCCTCCTCCTCCTGCGAGTCCACGTGCAACGCGGGGGGTCAGCGGGGTTGCAGCCGTGCCAGGCCCGGAGTGGAAGCAGCAGGATCAGCAGGATGAGGAAGGCGGCCGCCCCGCGGGCACCGGGCACAGAGCTGAGGGGCCTCCCCAGCACCGGGGCGACTTCCGTGTGAGGAAGCGGGAGGCCATCGGGAGGCGAGGACCAGCTCGCAGGACCC